CCATACTGACGATGCTCGACGCTCATTTTTAATGTTAAAATAAGTAAAAAAACTCAATCAACGGGCGAAGTAAGAGTTAACCACATTTTTTAATTTTTACATAAAATTATATATTGTATTAAACGCGATGAAACATTACGCCAAAAAATAATAAATAATAAAACTATAAACTAATACATTACAAGTAACAAGTTTCGGCTACCAGTTTGAGCCCTCTTCAGACATTAGTACAATAAAAAATAACAGAACAAATTCAATTGTCGCAAGTATTCGCATAATCCGAATAATCACAGTTCGGGTGAGTCTCGATCTCGAAACATTATTTCCGTATGGTTGAACAGTCAAAAGTATTAAAATTGTCATTGTTGAAGTTCAGAAATCATGTGTAAGAAGTTTGAATTAATCTGTCCAAAAAGAACTAAAAAACTTTTGAAATGTGTACAGAGAGAAGGAACGCAGATATGTAAAACAGACATAATGTATCGATTATCATGTACGTTCAGTAGTGAGGATCAACACAGACTATTATTATTATTTATTATTTTTTGGCGTGATGTTTCATCGCGTTTAATACAATATATAATTTTATGTAAAAATTAAAAAATGTGGTTGACTCTTACTTCGCCCGTTGATTGAGTTTTGTTATTATGTTTTGAAAGAGTCCTTTGAATTTGTTTATTTGTTAAAATAAGTCACGTGATCAAAATTAATATTTATCACGTAATCTGTTTTGACGTTAAAAATGAGCGTCGAACGTCAGCACGAAAAAGTAACTTAAGTTTCTTTTTAGAATTTGGAGCAAGAATTTGGTTTTGATTGATCAAAAAGCATGTTTAGAGGACTTATTACGGTTCTTAAAACAAGGTGAAAATTACAAAAGTAATCAAATTTACTAGAATATTTATAACTTCATTGGTTAACACCTAGTGAGTTTGCTCATTTTTGTAATTTTCACATCGTCTAAAGAACCGTAATAAGCCCTCAAGACGATCGCGCATTGGAATGAAATAATTTTTATGTATTAGGTCTGTTCGCATTTAATTCCTGAACACAACCCAGGACACCTAGTTCATGGAACAAAGTCGGAATGGATTCCGATCGGAATTATTCCATTTTTCTCAGAAAACACAATAGAAATCTAGGGAATAATTGAATAATTCCGATTGAAATCCATTCTGATTTTATTTTATGATAGGTACCCAGAATACATATTAGACTGCCAATCAGGAACTCGGACATCAATGTCGGATCTCTTTATAAGACTCTACTTTGCCATGTTGAATATACTTTGCTCTCTCGCCTATAGTCTCCTACTTGGAGGCAGGTCAAGCAAGAGCCATTGAAATAAGAACAAGAAGAATCATTATTGTACTGTCTCTAAGCTTGATTTTTGGACGGTTTGTAATGGGGTTAGAATTTAGTGTGTGAAATTTTACATGATTGCGTCGTCCATAAATTAAAGGTAGTGCGACAAGTGCGAAAGTAACAATCGCGAGTACGCGACTTTTGAATTATCGGTTTTTTCTATATACATATTGTGAAATATGAGCCGTAGAAGGGTACATGACGAAGATGATGGCTACGGTAAGCATTTCAAGTTATCGCTGTTTTCCTGAGGCTCTGATTCACCATTGATTGATTATCAATGGATGCGTTCCACTTGTCGCTCATAATGCTCGCGAGCACCATTTGTCCTTATTTAATATTTGTTAATAATGAAAAAAAATGATTTTATGAGCGTTACGAACGCAAAAAGGAACGCAGCCTATGATCTATGATGTTCAAATAAAAGCTGTTAATATAAATATGTTACTTTTATTACATTTTTTTTTAAATTTTATTTAGCATAACTTGTTTGATGATGTCTTCTAAATTCTCAAATGAATGATAATCGATTTAGATCTTCGTCATTAAGATCTGATTCGTCTAAAAGATTGATTGAAAAGTTCTGTCATTTGTGTGTATAAGACCTCATCACTATCCTCGCAACTTTCTATGCACCCTGTATGTACATATCATATATATATATATA